TTTTAGGGATAATCTTTGTTTATGTTAGCACCTCTTAAAATAAGGGGGGAAAGAATATCATTGATATATCGGCATATCGGATTTTAAAATCCTCAAATATCAAAATTGGCATAGGACTTATAAATCCCATATCGGTCGGGCTCTAATAAAGATAGCAATTATAAAGACAAAGAATATGGGGGAAAGAATGGATTAGCACAAGCAGGTAGCAGGGATTGTCTTTGGGGGCGGCTGTGGCTCAGGAGGTAGAGCGGGTTGCCCGTTAATCTTGCCAAGTGTCCTTGGGCAAGATACTGAACCCCAAATTGTCCCTGGCGGCTCTTCCGCCAGTGTGAATGTGTGTGAATGGTGAATGCAGATGTAGTGTAAAAGCACTTTGAGTGGTCAAAAAGACTAGACAGGCGCTATAGAAACACGGAGCATTTACATTTTCTACAGAGAGAAAAAGTAGCTGCCTGCTCTCATTGGCTGGATGTCGAGTCAGCCGACCCCTCCAGATATCAGCATGCTAGATATCTGGCTGGCGTCTGGGACGTGTCAGGGAGCCGTTTAATGCATTGTGAGTAGTTCACATAATGACTGGCGACCGCCGATCGATCGCTGATTACGCCTGATCACAGCCTGACGGTCGCAGAGCTCCCCGACCGGCAAATCAGGCTTAAAATCGTATAGTGTGAACTCGGCTTTAGTTTTTTTTTGCTTACAAGTACAACTGCAATATCAACAAGCAGTCCTCCTCTGTGCAACTCAAAAAGAACAAACAAACACTATGAATTTGTTTCTCCTTCGTTTGCTGTGTTTACATATGTTTATGGAAGGTTTTCTTTGTTAATTTAATATGCTTATTTTTTGACACTCTTGCAGAAGCTCTAAGCAAACAGAGACTTGTAATAAGGGCTGAACGTCTTCTCCGTCCCAGAACATGTGGAGTGTCATTACAGAAGCAGACCTCGACTGCCCTGCCAACGACTGCAGCTGAGTGTTCGATCATAATTAGACAGTGCTTGATTTAGCTGAATAAATATTTTGTTATAGAGTTTAAAACCAAATCTGTGATGAACCAAACCAAATTTTTGGCCATGGAATTGCACACACCTGACACCAAGCGCAGCTTCTTTTCTGGTAGTAACAGACAACTGAAAAATGTTCCTATAAACTGAAATTGACAAATGATAGCTTGTTCTTTTAGGGCTGTTGATGAGGAATGTCAGCTTTCTTGTTTAACTGGATGACGACATGAAAGATCTTGGTAAGAGAAAAAAAAAAGACAGACTACATGAGAGGGTTTACTCCAGTGCTGAGTGTGGTAGCCTCAGAGTAAGGTCACTTGGGTCAGCAGTTCAGGCCGCTTTGTCCCCTGATAAACTGCTCTGACTGGACCAACAACTTGTCAAAGCCTCTAGCTGAGTGCCTGTAAGTCACACGCAGTCATACAGGCAGTCATATAGGTTTCTGCACTGAGCTAGTCACATCTCTCTCCCTGTTAACACTTAGGTCTAAATAGGAAAGCCTACACCCAGGACAGGTTAGCTAAGTCTTCATTCCTCCTGAATCCTCTCAGAACATCATCAACACTGTACAACGATGAACAGCATGACACTCCCTTCAATGGTATAAACACAGTGTTTGATACAAACGTTTAAAAATACTGACACAAAAAAAGTGAATACTTTACTCCTGTAACCTGATCCATTCTTCTCTAGACATGCACTGTCTGCTGCCATCTTAGGGCAGAACAGTTAGCAGGTAAAATAACATTGCATATAATGCATTTTATTACTGCTGTGTAGGTAGTATTTTCAAAAATGTCTTGCACAAAAATGTTATCATTGTTAAATTAATTGTAATAACTTGGTATGATTACCATAATATAAGACAATTAAGTAGACGACTTGTAGCCTCTACTTTATGACTGTTTTGTAGTAAAAAGTAGTGCTTTTCCGTGTGTGTGTGTGTGTGTGTGTGTGTGTGTGTGCGTGTCAGTAAGTGGGTTCATAGAACCGCAATATCTGAATGTAAACATGTTTTCTCAATACGATCTTAGGAATACACGGTAAAGACACTGGTCTTTCATACTAACCCCTCATGCCACTGCCCTCCTCATGGAAGGAACTGCGATGCAGACCTGAACCTCCTCCTAAACCAGCCTCCTCCAGATGCTCACTGCCTCCACTACCCGAGGAGGCAATGCTGCTCTGGGGTGAGAGAGGTGCGTGGTCTGGAGCTGGGCCTCTAGCGGTTCGTAGGTCTTCCTGGGACAGCCAGACATGGCCAAGAGGCTGGTTGCTGGGGCCGCTCATGGGAGGCGTGAGGGACACGGAGCGCTTCAGGGGACTGTGCTGCTGGCTGCCACCTCCACTCGTCAGGACTGCAAGACAACAGCAACTAGTCAGGTAGGTGCAGGCTGTTAGAGCTGGCTAAGACTGGAGAGATCATACTGGAAACACTGCTGCTCACTCACTCGTGTCAACAAGTCGTGTTGCTGTTACAACAACACTAATGCAAAAACTGAGGATAGCCTGAAACAATATACCAAATAGAACTCATCTTTCCTATACACCACAGAGTGTGTCTGTGTTAATTCAAATATTAGATTAACATTTATAACTCTAATGCCTGACCGGCTGCTAGCAATGATAAACTTTGCCTGACCCTCACTTCAGATAAAGTACATCTGGTGAACCATAACAAACATTCAGTCAAACATTTTGACTGATAAATATGCTCAATTCAGAGTCAAAGTGTTTTCATCCACTGTATATTTACGTTCCTCGGTGCATTCAGACTTATCTGATTTCGTATCCAGCATGAAAGAAATGCACAGAGGTGGCCCTGGATGTTTCTGCTGGACTAATTTTATCAGATTAATATGATACAAAAAAAATTTGTTTTGTTTTAACATTACATCCACACTCATCTTCAGTCAACCTTTATTTACTTTGAATTACTCCTCCTCCCAACTATGTCTGTCAAAAGTGTCTGTATTTTGTAGAGCAGTACAAGCACACATTCTGCACTTTGCATATAGTAACTGCACAATTTCTCATCTCCGACTGACATTTGATCTCCACAGCTATATTTATAAAACTAGTTTAGATGTGAAATTATAACTCAGAATGTGTTTGTGCGCTAACTAGAGACAGCTGGAGGCAGGAGGATGCATCTGCCAGGCAGGAAAATCACAAAACTCTCCTGATATCTCAGTTGTCTGCGACATCCAGACTTTAAAAAACTACATCTCTCCAATAGACACCCTTTTGATATTCTTAGATCTATGATTACTGCAAATTAATCTCAGAACTCATCAGCTGTTGTCTGATGACTATCTTAATGCAAATGCATTTTTAAAAAGCTAATCACTGGTTTCCAAGATGGACAAAAAGCTAAATTGACTGTTTACGTACATGCAATCAAAGCCCGCTCAAAACATGATTGGTTGACATTACTCAGACTACAAATGAACTACAAACAGAAACCAGAATGCTTCCGATACCAATTATTGTCCCTGCCTACAGATTCTGGATTCATATGCAGACATCTGTTTATAGCAATTAACTGCAAAATGTCTGCTCAACAGTCAGTCAATTTATCGAGTTTAGCTTCAGCAACTAAGCAGAAAAGCAAGCAAAATGATTTTTACTTCAGGAGGTCATTTACGTACGTTAACGCTCCCTTTAATTTCATTTCGTGTAGACCTAAATTCTCACCTCCACTTGCTTGTTGGTTTGGAGACTCAACCTTGACGCTATGCGCCAATAAACACCTCCCAAACGAGGCAGAAATATCACTGATGTCTTAAAAAAAAAAGGAAGAATCTGTTCCTATAGCAATGACATAAACCCACCGCCAAGAAATCTGTCTTCTCTTCTTAATTTCTCCATCTTCTTCTCTCACCTAATTTCTCTGTTAATTATTGAAATCTGTGCTCCTCAGGATGTATTCATGATGGAGACCTACTGGGTCAAACCAAGATAACTTTTACTACTGAAATCCCAATATTTTAAACCCAATAAAAGCAGCTCTAACAACACAGATCCTTCCTGCTGAAGGAGGCAAATGGAAAGAAAAGGTGGCAAGCCAAAGAGCTTTTTTTTGTTGCCACTCTGACGGGGTAAGCTGCCACCAATACTGCGGTCTCTCTCCTCCTCCTCCTATATGCGGTCCTCTTACTGTTGGCGCTATGTATAGGACTTCATGGGCGGCGTTTAAAATAGGTGCCCAGCTAACATTACATGTTCCAGTCCCTAAATATTAGCCATTTTCCCTAAATACAGTCTACCACAAAGGCTGCCTTACAAGGGAAAAGATGGGTGGTATGTGCTGCTGTGGCTTGGAGTTAGGCTGGTCAACAGGATGTGGTATCAGTAGCAAACAGGTTGATGTGTTTGGACAATTATACTCCTCATCATGACCAGATGAACACAGTGTAGGGAGGAGGTGGTGACTAATGGAAGTAATGTGTATTAGGAATTAAGTCAATTTTGGATATTTAGTGATCAAAATGATTAGTGTATTTATGGCTTAATGGCCCAAAAAGAAATGCTAAGATTTGATTCAAAAAGTATTGACGAAACATATTTTATCATCCAACTCCATCTCTGCATACCACTAAATATCAACACATGAATTCCAGGTTTCTGGTCGTGTATTCACTACTATTCTTCTTACTTTCATTAGTTCACCAGCAGTCCACCAATCCTGTGCTGGTGGCTTGGGTAACTTATTTATCAGTTGTGAGGTCTTTTGCGTGGAACTGAAGCTGCTAGCAGTCAAAAATACAAGTCGATCTTTCTTGGAGCAGCGAGCAGAGCTTTAAATGTGTCTTTATTTATAAACCCTCAGCTGTTTCTTTCATCTCCCAGAAAAAAACAAAACACAGAGCCCTTGCATTCTTGTCTGGAAATATCCTGCTCTGACCATAGTTATGTTCAATTTCAACAGCCCTGCCCTCTCTGTGTGTTGTCTTCACACAGCCTCTGTAGTTGCTGTATGGGTTGTTCAGAGTGCAGTTGTTCTGACCAGTGTGTATTTACTGTGTTAAGTCTATTTAGTGTGTTCAAGGTGTATTTAGCATGTTTAAGTTTGAACTTTGTGTCTAAAAAAAGTGTCTTTAATGGAATCATAATGAAAGCAGCATTTAAACGGCTGCGGCTGCGGCTCAGGAGATTGGCCGTTAATCGGAAGGTCGGCGGTTCAATCCCTGGCTCCCCCTGGCTGCATGTCGAAGTGTCCTTGGGCAAGATAATACCCCGAATTGCCCCTGACGGCTGTTCCGTCAGTGTATGAATGTGTGTGAATGTTAGTTTCTGTTTGAGCACTTAGGCTCAGTGTATGAATGTGTGTGAATGATGAATGCAGATGTAGTGTAAATACGGAGCATTTAAATTACCTTTGTTCTGCTGCCAAATACAGATGTTTTGTGAGCTTAGTGTTATTATTATTGTGTTATTATTATAATCCAATCAAGCACAGCTGATACCAAAATAAATTCCTATGATTTAAACTACAACAGAGAAAAACCCCAAAATGTCCTTTCTGTCTTGTTTGCCACATGATAGATAGAGTTTAGAGACCCTAGTGTGATATTGCCTGGGTGCGGGCAATCAGGTGGCCACCCCAGACAGAGATGCTATCATCAGGTCTGCCCAGAGTAGGTGGCTATAATCACTAAGCTGTTCTCATATGGTATAGTGGTTTTGACCACCTTGACTTTAGAAGTACAAGCCAGGATGAGATGAAATGCAGCCCAACTCATATTTGGAAAAAATAAGGTAATCAGTGTATATAAAGTAAAGTAAAAGAATTGCGAAAGTTTTTACACTCTTGAATTTCAGGTTGACAGCGGCAGGTGTGTGTAGCAAAAATCAACAGCCCCATTTTACAGAAAAAATGTTTTCATGTTAAAAGTAATGTAGAAGAGTAGGGCAATCAGAGGAAATAAACTTGCCATTCAATTTTATGCGTCTTGTATGTAATAAATAAAGTGGATCCTCCAATAAAATCTAAACTTCTATTGCCCTCCAGTATTATATATCGATATCTATTATTTATTGATATGTAAGTATTGTAAATCGAAGACAAAATAATAAAATGTTGTTGTTTTTTTTAATTTTATTTTAGTTAATAATTTGGCTGGTTTAATTCCAAACACATAATTTCAAATATTTCTGATTTTCAATCCTATCTTCACATTCATAACTTAATGAGGGTATGATATAAAAAAACTTGATTGATTTAAAGGGCATGATACATCATACATGTCAGTCAGATGATCTAATGTTTGAACATTTAAACAAAATATTATCGAAATGGCAATATGGCCAAGTATCCAGATCACAAGAGCTGCAATTTTTTGATAAAAAGTAAAATGCGTCACAACATACCATATCAAATGAAGCATTGTGGTGATACAGAGATGCCCCGACCTACAAATCTAGTTCTCCGGGCAGGGAACATGCTTTTTTGGTACCAGGCCCAGCAAAAATCATATCATGATTGTTTTTAAAGTACAAATGAATTGCCAAATTTACCATTCGCTCTAAAATCTGGACTCATCACAATGGCATACTGTTCAGCCTTAGTTTGCAGCAAACTGGTGAAAACCCTCCATGGACAACTTCAATGATCCAATCAAGGGTGTAGTCGATCTATCATTTTGCTTTACATTATTGTACGTATTACATTATCAAATGGTACACTGTGTGGGAACTACCAGAGGACACTATGAACACTGACTTTATCGATGTGCAGACCACTGTTAAAGCACCACATGATGAGAAATTTGCTGAACACAGAATAAGGCAGAGGAGACTTCACTTACTAGTGTTACCACCTCCAGTAGTTCCAACCGTGTTAATGGTTGCCGGCACAGAGGATGATGGGTAGAGAAGGAGGTGCCCATTCTCACAGCCCTGCTGCTGCTGATGCCAGCCTCCGCCCAGCCCTGAATCTCTGGAGCTCTGCCACCCATTGAGTCGGTCGTCCGAGCCGTAGCGCTGGTGGTGATGCAAGGAGTAGAGATTGCCTGATGAAGAGGTATTAGTGGAGGAAGAGGATCCTGAAGAGGTGAGGGTGGATGGAGGCGTGGACTGGTGGTGGTGATGGTGGTGGTGGTGCGGCCCAGCAGGAGGAGGCCTTTCCAGTGAATCTCCCCGGGCAGCAGCCCTCTCTTCCAGGTGGTTTAGCCAGAGTGCCAGGGCGGCCCGGTCTTCCAGGGAGGTGGCGGGGTGGATGAGGGCGTAGGACAGGAGCTGGCGAGACTCCTCCAGGTGATGGCCATGCTCGATGGTGTGGGCCAGGATGCGTGGCAGTAAGCGCATGTACTCACCCTTGGCTTCCACGTTTCCAGGTTTGAGCAGAGGGAGGTGGGTGAGGACAAGCGAGATGACACGCTCCTTAGACTCAACTTGCCACTGGCTGATCACCCCTGTAGAAGGACACAAAGCACAATAAGCTTTGCAAAGAAACATAACCCACCCCTTTATTTCAACAATGCCCAAACTCTCGCAGTGTATGACTTTATGAGTTTCCAGCCAGTGTGTGACCCTGACTGGGCCACAGTGATGAACAGAACAATGCATAACAAAGATTTCAGCAAATTAAAGAATGCTGCTGCACGATATACAAGGTGGTAGCAAAGGAGAATGCAATTGATAGATGGACGGGTAGATTAGAGAACACATGTACGGTTAAAAAAAAGTTAAAGACACCTACATAATGTCCTCTGCACTGTCATCCTTCTATATTGCTCTAAACATCCAGCTTTGTTGGCTGCTGATGGTGGCTGTACAGCTCTATACATAACCTGCAGGTCATGGAGTTCTATTGTTGTCCGAGTCAGTAGGCCGTTAGGAGCCCATTCCTATCATCTTGGACCAGGGCTATAGATACCAACTGGTCAGGGCAACGGATTTGGACAGCCACACAAATAGAGACAGGAAGCAATGTGAAGCAGGCCGGATTCACTTCCTGCTTGGGAGATGTGTCTGTGTGAATTTGACCACCACGGTCATTCGTAACCGTAAGGGTCTTGTCTCTAAATCCAACAGATGAGGTGAAACTAGAAAATATATCTGCTAGCCCTTCTGTCCAAAGATATCCCAATGTCACAGTCTACCTCGTGGTGAAATACAGCTCTCTCTGCCCTGTTGAGTGGACAGCTGCAGCTCTGACCGGGCAGATGGAAGACCACAAACCCTGAAGCCTTCCAAACAAGGTTCACATTCATTTCATCCCATGAAAGATGACCAGGGCTGAGGGATTAAAAAATTCAGGCTTGAGCCTTCTCACAGCATGAAACTGACAGTTTTACACACACGTTTACGCGTACAATCCTATGCCTTTCTACTCACAGGAAGATCAGAAGCATGTGTGTGTCCTGGTTGATAAACCACATGTTTTTCAAGTTCAAGAGTGCTTTTATAATAATAAACCACAAAAACCTACAGCCTCTGGCTACCTGCTTGGTTGTTTTCAGATAAAAATCAACTTTCTCTCTCTTAGGACAAAATGGAAAAATTTTACCTGATCGCTGAAATTGTAAAAGACAAAAACAAAATGAAAAGCCATTACCGACCAAAAGTTTTTACCTATGTATTTTAAATTCACAAGCATTTCATGAATTCATTTTTTTCACCCACTGAGGTCGTGTGTCACCAAGATGGGGCTGACTCAGCGGCCATTTCACAGAGGATGGCTTCCAACAAAACAGGCAGTTTTTTGTGTGAAGAAAAGCCTTTTAGATCCATGTCAGCTAATGTGAATGGGTGACATGAACGGACAAGATGGAGTGAACTAGGCCAGGCTGTCCCAAAGCTCAGCAGAGAGAACTACACTAAGAGCGACAGTGAGCTTAGGGGAGAGGAGGTGGGGAAAAACTGAGGTACAGATCAGTTTGAGATGGGGGAGAAGAAAATAAATGGAAGAGGGAGAGAAGGAGCGAGGTGTGTTAGGGAAGCCAGGGAGTTACTCTACTCTGCTCCAGGGATGATGTAATCATTCAGTCCTCTGAATGAGGCAAGCCTTATCCGAGAACAAGAATTGTTCCATGATTAAAAGTAATTTATTTCCAATTGACTGGAAACCATTAAGATATAATACTCTAACAACTCTTACAGAATCAGATTAACTTAAGACAGTAAAATGTTTTCAACTTTTTGAGAACATAGTTTGTCTTCTACCACAAATTACACAGTCACGATAAAAAGGACCTGACTAATCATTACTTGTTGTCACAGACACACTTCAAGTCAAAACAATCTTCATTGTGACTTTACATAATAATAAACATATTCTTACAAGTAGTAAAGTTAACACACTGATCGTAGAGGTTATCTGTGTGAAAGGGGCTTGTGTATGTCTCATCGTCTTTTCTTCTGTCTCAGAGTGAGTGGCAAATACAATACAAAAGTCTAATCATCCCAGAAGTCCTCATGGTCTCCCACACAGTTCCACAAATTCAAAGCCACTGGGACACAAAAGGTCAAAGCCTAGCACTCTCCACTGAACTCCTATTCGAGGAATGATGACACTAATGAGAAATTCCCACAAGATGATAAACAACCAGCCCTTTAAACTTGTGGGGTCTAGTATTTCGGTGCCCACAAAGCTGGTCCGTCCCCTCAAGTATATTAAATCCTAACAAACTTAGTAAAACACACAAACACACACACACACACACACACATTGAAGAGAGTCAGTGAGCTAGTAGCAAGAGCTCATCACTTAAACAAACTCAGAAGTGCAACCACATCGTCAGGTACAAGATGCAAACTGTCTGTTTCTAGTCTAGCTGGTCAAGGAGCAGCTTTGCCAACATGAGAATGGCCTCTGTGCTCCAGCAGCATATAGATGGAGGCAGTCCTGCAGAAGAAGAACTCCTCTGGAATTGAATCCACCACAACTCGGCAGCGAAGTGAATCACTTGCGTGCATCCGCAGAGAAACCACTTTGGAATAACTTGCCAAAAGAGGAACACTGACAGCCAGGTGAGCAGGAAAGCCATCCTCAGGTGGCTGACAGAACAGAGGCTCTCATTAACTCTGTCCTGCACTTAAACCGGTGATCAGTTTCAATCATACAGCAAAGCGCTGCAAATATGGGATAGAAACCGTTCACTAGGGGTGTGCATCTTCACTGGTCTCACGTGATATGTGATTGTAAAACAAATAGGATACGGATAACATATAGGAGAGATGTATTTTTCTCAATGTGTGACTACTTGGTACTTTTAAAGCAAAGTATTTGTAACAATCCAACTAAGTTGATAGTTGAAATGCAGATATTTAATGTTACTTCACATAAATGTAGCTAACATTGCATAGCATTATTACATTATTACAGCATTATTACAGACCTCTGCTGCTGCTATTTTCATTTCTGATGCTGCTGTTATTAGTATAGAGTCAGATACGGGTTGAACTACACACTTTACAATGCTCCAGCCAAACCACGTTCACTCTGCCTAAATACATCTGCCCTTTTTTTTGTCTGGTCTAGTGTAGTTGCATGGTTGTCTTGTCATGTAAGTTGATATTGTAATCTTGTATAACTAGCTACTAACTGTAACTAGCAGCCAAAAAACTTCCTGCTCAGCTTCTAGAGGAGACGCCTTCAGTTTTCCAGCAGTTGAAAAACAAGAGACAGAGTTTAATTAACAGATACACTGTGACCTACACTGTACATTTACTGCCAGACTGAAACATAGCGCTTGATTATCTCGATAATAGATTATTGACATTAGTGAATCGATTCAGAATCGTCCAAGTCTGCATCGCGACGCATCTAAGAATCAATTATTTTCCCCACCCCTACAGTTCACTTACCAGTTCTAATTTACACTCAGTGTAACAGTTTGTGGCAATACATTGCTCAGAGGCCAAAAATACCCAGAACATGGCAGAAAAAAGTGGCAGAAAAGTGGCACTCAAACCCCTGGATTCAGCATTAGGGATTAGTACAGCTAAAGATTAAAAGTTTGAAAAATGTACTTTTTATGTAAGTCAGGAGCTAGGACCGTCTTCCCTGAATAATAAAGATAATGGCTAGAAAAATGTATTAAAACGTTAACACCATGAAGTCAGGAAGCTACTTCAGGCTTACTGACCTCTTATGCTAAGGTCAAGGAGTCAACCCCCTCACAGCCAACAAACATGCAACATCTCTCACAGAAAGGGTTCACAGGGGTCACACCCAGCATAGGTCAAAGTTCAACTGCTAGGAGAAACACTGAACTACCTATTACGCAAATGCAAGACCGAGAGTGTGAGTAACTGCACAAGTGTGAAACTAACAAACCCTGGGTAAATAAATGTTAAGGATTACAAGTAAATGCAGCACGCAGAAGAATCCAACCGAAGAAGCCATTTACTTAACATTCTTACAAAAACAAGCCAAATTAAATTAAAAGTGGACAGACTGAGAACATTATACCATGCATGTCAAGCTCTTTCCTTCCTCTTCACCCTGAGCCTAGAGAAAGAAGGAGGGGAGGAGGAATGAGAGCAGGAGCGGTTAAACCGAGGTTACTACACTGACAGAGGAGAGAAATATAGGAAGCTCTTTCCTCCTTACACAGCGATACCAACACCCCCTTGTTTCTTTGTAATTTCTGACTCAGAATATCACTATGAACTTCATGGGAATCAAGAGTTGCTCTGTTGAATCTTGTCCACCTCTGCATCCCACCTGACAAGAGAGGAGCAGAGACTTTAGTCAGACAACTGTCGGCTCCATGAATCTCAGTCAGTCATATTTTAAAACAATGTGAAAAAATAAGTCAGTGTGGAGTCAAAATGATCAGCGATCGATAAAAACACTCCAACAGACTGAACAATAAAAGTGAGCAAATGTGAGGTATTCAATGAGACAAAGGATGTTAAGAAAGAGAGACAGGGGCATGCTGGGAACTGATGAATCACATCAGCATCATCGAGGAGGTACACTGAAAAAGAAAGTCAGACATACGCAAACTAAAACCTCAGACAGAGAGTCATTTGTTTGGGGCCTGACACAGCACTTTGCTGCTTGCACAGAGTGTCTGCTGGTGAACTTTGTGCCATCCTGCCCTGGCACTGCCCTCTGACACTCACCCTGGCACCAAGACAAGGGTGCTGCTTTCAACACAGCCCTGCCTCTGAGTATAATTCTTCTCTCATCAAAATGCCCACCGTCCCTCCACGGGCACTTTGTCGGCATTGAAGAAAGTTAGACAGAAACAGAAAGCAGACAGACAGACGGGGAAATCAGTGGCTCAGTGTGCTTTCACACATGAGAAACTCTATATTCTTACTGAGAGTGAACAGGGTAAGAGGCTCTAACATCATCTATACTGTGATCAGCAGCTACTTGTCAAATAATTGTCCAGGTCATCCCTATCGTCATTTAAAGACAAGAACTGGGAAGCTTTGAATGTTTATTAATAAAGTCAAGATAAAGTTTGGACAGGGAATCTCACATGAAATGAAGTCATTTTAAGCTGCTGTTG